GGCGGCAGTTTCGTTGATAGGTAGAGAACAGTGTAAGGAAATAAGGCCGTGCACATTAGCAATTCAGACGGTAGGAGGACATCCGTTGCACATTCTTGGCGTTTCAGACTGCGTTGTAGAGATTGGAGCAGGAAAAACACGATATCCGTTTATTGTAACTTCTGATATAAGACGAACGATTTTGGGAGCAGACTTTCTCAGAGAAGTAGGAGCTGTAATCGATATGAAGAATAGAAAAGTGGTCACAAAACACGGGCAATTCGCGATACATGAGAATAGTGAAGTCGCTGAGGTGGAAACCACAACCATTGTTCCGCAAGATGCACCACGTCTAACCACGTTGATGAGTAAATATGCCGGTTTATTCACTAGTGATGGAGACCCATACGGTTATTGTGATAAGGTAAAGCATAACATCCCACTGAAGGATACGGGGAAGACAGTCTTTTCATCGCGACGAGTTCCGGTTCACCTTGAAGAAGAAGTTAACCGACAAGTCAGAGAAATGTTAAACGACGGAATAATCGAAGAAGCCGACAGTCCGTACAGTTCGCCAATCCTTTTGGTGAAGAAAGCTAACGGGAAATATAGATTTTGTGTCGACTTCAGACAGCTGAATAGCCTCACCGAAGTGAAACAGTGTGCAATGCCTACCGTAACAGAAACTCTTGATCGCCTTCATAAAGCCAAGTTATTCACCGTGTTCGACCTACGATCGGGTTACTGGCAGATCCCAATAGCAGAAAGTGATCGAAGTAAAACAGCTTTCACAGTTGGGCAGAAACAATACCAGTTTAAACGAATGCCATTTGGATTGGTAGGTGCCCCATTTACATTCAGAAGATTAATGACCTTATTACTGAAGGGTCTGAAGAACGTAGAAGTATATGGAGATGACTTGGTGGTGTATAGTGAGACGAAAAGCGACCATATAGACCACATCGAAGCTATCCTTAAGAGAATTGATGACTTTGGACTGCGGATTAATAAGAACAAGTCCCAAATAGCTAAAAACACGGTTGTCCTCCTGGGTTACAAAGTGGGAAATGGTGAAATACGGCCATTGCCGGAGAAGATCCTGACGGTCAAAACCAGCGAAGTGCCAAATTCAAAGCGAAAGCTGAGACAGTTTTTGGCAAGAGCGGCATTCTACAGCCGATTTGTCAAGAATTTCAATGAGATAGCAAAACCACTATATACGTTGCTGAGTAACGCAAAATTCATGTGGACGGAAGAGGCACAGCAAACGTTTGAGCGAATTAAAGAGCTGTTAGATGGTCAACAGATGACGTTGAAACTGCCAGCGCCGGGGAAGCAGTTCACAGTTTCGACAGACGCCAGTGATTATGGTATAGGTGCTGTTTTAAGACAAACGGATGGGGTTGTTGAATACGCTAGCCGTGTGTTGACACTTGCAGAACAGAAGTATTCTACGGTGGAAAAGGAGTGTTTAGCCATTGTTTGGGCACTAGAAAAATGGAGACCATATCTGATCGGCCGCCGATTCCACATTGAGACCGACCACAAACCTCTTCAGTGGTTGAAAACAGCACGGGATCCACGAGGGAAGTTATCACGATGGATGTTACGCCTACAAGAGTATGACTTCACGATTGGACATATTCCAGGAAAAGAAAATGTAATAGCTGACTATTTGTCGAGGTCAGATAATGAGACTGAACTACCAGAGGTAGCGTATGCAGTAAACGCTTTGGAGCAAGATCCCTTACAACTTGTTCGCCACCAGAAGTCGGATCCTACTCTTAAGACAGTCATTCAGATGATACGTGAAGGGAAAGAAATTGAAATGGTAGCAGAGAATAGAGAGTTAAAGATGCTACTGCAGCAAAAACATAGACTCAAACTAAACGCTGTCGGCGTCTTAACTTGGAAAGACAGTGATGGTAGCTGGGTTGCAGTGATACCAAAAAGCCTTCGTCGTGGGGTCATTCAAGAATGCCACCAACTAGCTCATACAGGAGTTGCACGAACATACGACCTAGTGAGCCAAAGTGCGTACTGGCCAAACATGAGAAACGATATTGCAAACTACGTACTCGCTTGCCCACAGTGTCAATTGATGAAGGGTGATCGGTGCATTCGACCACAGCTACAAACGATACCCGTAACGGCGGTTGGTGACTTATGGTCCGTGGACATAATGGGTCCTTTCCCTCAAACAGCAAGTGGAAATCAATACATTTTAATGATGACAGAACACGCCACGCGGTGGGTAAATGCTGTAGCGATTCCAGATCAGCGCGCCAAGACCGTAACCAAGGCGGTTATTCGACATATTGTGGCGGATCATGGTGTACCAAAAATGATATTGACAGATCAAGGCCCCTGTTTTGAAAGTGAGGAGTTCAAGACTCGTCTGGAGGCACTGGGTATTAAGAGAATTAGAGCGACTCCGTATCATCCGCAGACAAACGGCTTAACCGAAAGGAACAATCGTACACTCAAGGAATGGCTAGCTGCGAAAAGAGGCAACTGGGAAACTGACTTACCGTTGGTATTACTAGCACATCGTGCCACAGTACAAGGGACAACAAAAAAGTCGCCTTTCCAGCTGATGTATGGGAGGAAACCACGCTTACCGGTACACCATAAGACTTGGCCAACACAACAAAAATGGAACAGTAAGAGATGGACAAGTGAGCGGAAACAAGCTATTCAGAATATACAAGAGAAGCGCAAGATAGACATTGAAAATTATGGCAAGAAACAAATCAAAGCTTGGAAGCCGTTTGAAGTAGGTGACCAGGTGAAATGTAGAGAACGAAAGTATACTACCGGCAGTGGACCAGGATCAGGAAAGCTTCTGCCGAAGTGGGAGGGACCATATGTGGTCACATCGAGACGCGGTCCAGTGTACACAATAAAGAGAGGAGATAAAGAGAAAAGAGTAAACGCCAGTCTGCTACAAAGATGGAGAGAAGAATGTAAAGACAAGGTACCAGAAGAGCAGCAGGATGAAACGTCTGTGCGGCGATCAAGGCGGTTACAGGAGAGACTTTATAATGAGAGGGCGAGTGTGGTGAGTGCTACTTATAATCTGATATAAGTAGTATATCAGGAACGAAGTAACAACATGTTTGGCACACCGAAAAGAGCAATCAAAGAAGAGAACCATAAGGAGAATGTTGCCATATGATGCAGAATCCAAGAAGCTATCGAATGAGACGATATTCGACCAATTCGTCAAGGATGTGGTAAAGATGTGCAAATAGCCGGTTGAGAATATGGTATTTCAAATTTAGCTATGTACCATACGTTTCACCAAACAAACATTTCTTTCAGTCTCCTCAGTCTTGTCTTCTTTACAATATAAGTCTGATTTCCCACAAACTCGGAAATATCCAAGTGAAAAGCAACAAGTTGGGAGAAAAAGCATCCAGAGAAGACAGGACTTCAGCTGAACATAGAGAAGACAGAGGTGATGATGAAGATTCCTGGCCAACAGCAACAGCCACGGTAACAACAACAGACAACATTCAGCATGAATGGGAGAAATCTGAAAAAGGCAACCTCCTTCACCCACCTACCCAGCGACCTGGGAGGCATAGTTTCAACTACAGGCGGGCGGAACTGATGAGGATATCAAAGCGAGGATAGGGAAAGCAAGACAAGCTTTCATTACTCTCAAGTCTGTGTGGAGGTCAACAGCACTCAGCATCAAAAATAAGATCCGGATTTTCAACTCAAATGTGAAGTCAGTGCTACTCAACATACGGATCAGAGAATTGGCTCCGCACCGCGTCACGAAGGGCACTTTGAACAAACTACAGACCTTCACCAACAGCTGTCTTCGCTCAATACTTCACTCAAGATCAGATGGCCGGCCAGAAAAGATCACCAAAAGGGTGGAATCTCTGGGAGCGAACCAACCCATCAGGAACCAATTGTGCAACAAATATGCAGGAAGAAATGGAGGTGGATTGGCCATACTCTGAGAAGACAAACCATCAAGTGACATCACACGCCAAGCCATTGCTCAAGTGGAACCCGAGTGAGAAGCGATGAGTTGACCGTCTGACGGTGACATGGAAGAGGGATGAAAGCATATGAGCAGAGATGGAGCCAGGTAAAAACGTTGGCAGAGAGCCGAACGCAATGGAGACGTGCGGCTGAAGCCCTATGTTCCGCTAGGAACTAAAGGAGACTATATATATGCATATATATATATATATATTTATATATATATAAGAATAGAATGTGAGTATTGTCGTAGAGAGTAATTCCATCAGTGGAATAATTTTATATGGTGAAAACCACAGTGATGCAGTATTATCTATGCACTGATGACATTTTGAGCACAATTTATTCCCAGCACATAATCATATTCAAGGCACCCACATAACTTCCCAACTTTGTTTATATACCTTCCACTATTTCCTGTTCTTCCTTTTTAATGATACCAATATTTTCCGTATCTCTTGTATTGGCGTTTTGTCATTCCTATTGCAGGCGTTAGGTGTGTAGATCTGATGAACAAAGAGTCCGTGATCAACCTCTCTCCCCCACACCTAGCTATATTACATTTTAGAACTGTACTTCTGTTCCACCCTACTGTGTAAAATGATCAACTCTAGGAAATGAATAGGATAGATTTAAACTCAAGTATTCCAATGCATGCAATAACTCACGCACACACACACACACACAATCACACAATACGGTGGAGTAGAGCTACAGTCCTACACAGTCATAAAGTTAGGTATGCGAGGGAGGGATGAGAGGTCGATAATTAAATCTCCTTTGTTCAACGAATCTACACCTGATACGTGCGACACGGAAAGATGCGACATCGACACCAGAGATTTGGAGAATATTCATATTCCGGTCTCAGTGTGTTCCATTATCAAAGCGATTTTGGCAATGTGAAGCGAAAATAACAAAACGTGGAATATATTCATATTCATATATATATATATATATATATATATATAACTCATGTGATTTGACTCAGGAAAACAGTTATAAAACGTAGACGTTACCTGAAATCCAAGTTCACCAATAGGCATTCGATTTAAAACAGTGTCTAGTAGCTGTGATGATTTCTCTCTACCAGCTGATTTAATTTCATTACGTTGAATTGACATGTCGTTTGAAAGCATAGTCCTCACAACCGGTTCTTTTGAAGATGAAGACAGTGAGGAGACTTTTGGCTCTGGTGCTTTTCCAAGTGATAGTGTAGCTGCTGTCCACGATGGAGATAAATTATTGTCTTGTCGATAATTCGACTGAGATTGAAAGGCGAATAAATATGCACTTGAGGCAAGATAAGCTCTGTCTCTGATTGAACTAAGCGGTTCATTTGAATGCGCTAATAGTAATATTGGTTCATCGCTAAGATTTGAATACTGATAAGAATCGCCTAATAGATTAGTATTACTAGAAGACAATTTATTCCCAGTTTGATTTAAACAAATCGAAGGATTATTAGTTGAAAGAGACGACTGGCCTTGTTTAACAGTTTCAACTTTAACAAGCAATGGCATATCCCAACCTCGATATGTACAACCATGAGGTTTCCAGTTCGGATGCTGAGTGCGACAACCAAACATTTCATCCTATATACATTTGAAATTAAAAAAATTTATAATAATCTCAAAAGAATACATACATACATACATACATACATATATATGGACTATTTTAGAAAACCAAGACATGATCCAACATCTTGAACTTGAGAATTGCGACAAAGGATTACTGTGGATAAGGTATGCATGAAATAATTTCTACTGAAATTGGAAAGTTGATGCGATAACATATCTTCTAGCTAATTACGGGAAACACCAGCTTTCGTCCTTCGATTGATCAAACCGGGACAATATGAACTACTTATTCAGTTATGCAAAGTGACATCTGATTGAATATACATACAGCTACAGACTGAATCATTACGGTAAGCTTGTCAAGTTTGTCACTTACAGGCATTTTTTGAAGATCTACGGCAATATATTTATTCTCACTCGGTTGTGTTTCGACTGAAGCCTAGTTCTTCAATCCCTAATCTTTGAAGTTTCAGTAGCGATAGTGATTCTTGTATGCGGTGGCATTGCTAGAATAACACATAACTTTTCCTCTTCACAGGGCTACACTGGCCACCTTCTAAGTGGGATTCGGTAGAGTGCGGACCGGGAATCGAACTCTGACCATGTACGTGGTTGACGAGCATCCCACCTGTGAACTACCAAGGCACTCAGATCCAAACACTACTCTCTGGAAGTGATAAGCCAGAAGTAAAGAGTATCTTCGTGAGCGTTTACATAACTATCATCTGATATTTTTTCGATAAGGATGTAGTCGAAATCTCCCTGTATTACTCAAAACACTCAATACTATCTGAAAAACCATGAAACCTGTGTTACATTTACCTGAGGCACGTAGCATATATACTTCAGTAGAAATTAGACTCTGAGATTCACTGAATAGATAACAGCATAGCTATGAGTACACTAAAAAGCTAAAACCAAACAAATATGACAGATGCATGACAGTATATACTACTGATTGACTGAGATGAGTAGATCGGTGCCACTGACACCAACCAGTAGTACTTGATAGCCAGATGGTCGAAGTGATCTAAGTACTATGTAGTCGTTTCGCTCAATTCGGCTGAACTGAGTTAAAACAGATACACCACCGATAGATAAGCTCAACTCCAAATGAGCAAAACGACCATTCGGTGTGTAGAGCACTCCGATCAAGCTAGTGAATGATGTACAACTCCTCACGTGAATCAATCAGTGGCATATAGTGTCGTGCGTTCATGCTTGCAATCTTGATTACTATTCATAGTATCAAGCAGATCACACATATTACGTGATCTGAACAATTTCAACTTCCAAAGAACACCGTGATAAAATCTCACCCTGAACTGAGCAAATTGTGAATCGCTTTCCAGTTAAGAGTGAAACATTGGTATGATGCAACTGACCCTTTATACTAAAGCTTGGCTGTATTAACGAACGAAAGTGAATTAAAAGATGCACAAAATAAATGCACTACTCACCTCAACTGACTGAATAAAGGCATAGACTAATTAATCCGAGTAAATGGTGTATAGCTAATTTAGCTACAGTACGACTGCAGTGTTTTGCTTTTGTCGCCGGTCCAATGCCCAACATCAGTGCAGCTAACAGTTCACCAGTTTCTGCCAGGACTGATGTGACGCCATATTCAGTGACTAAACCGCGACCCAAAGCATAATTAGCCTAAAGTAATAATAGTAATAGTAATAAAATCAAAAACGCAGATGAAAGGTTTCTGACGACAGAGTGCGAAAATAAACATGAAGACAACCAGTGAACTAGCGAGCTGTTGTCTGAAACACGAATTGTATGCAGATATTTTCAACAATCAATAAAACAAAATGATTAGAGATGGATGAAGTGGCATTTTTCAGTTGCCTTACAGCTTACCCACCCAGAAAATCTACATAAATTTCAACCGAAATACCCAAGCTTTTCTGGAAATTTAGTTATAAAGTTATCCAGGGTCCTTCATTGTCAGGTAAGGCATTTTTTATTAATAGAATATATGTTATTATCTTCTGTAATCAATAAATATTATCATATTATAAACATGAAAAGCTTCAATAATCGCAGTCAGAAATGAAACCTCTGCAGGCAGGCAAACATGCACAGTAATGTATTACTTCAAATTTCGACAGTTTTCACAGCACAGGATAACAAAGTAAGATTTAAAAACAGGTGGAATATAAGTGAAAAGCATCTATACAAAGAATACGTCAATATAGCCATCACGATTTTTTATGAGCCATGTGATTTAAATAACATCTTCGTGTACTGATTAAATGTGCCTCATAGACAGTGATTAAAAAAGTCCACTTTTAGCCACAGAAATCACACCAGCAATCATAGATTACACCTTTTTCAATATGCATATTTTATTGAGATTGGAACACAGAGATTTAATAGCACATCTGCATTTCGCCTTGTCATCTGGTGCCGTTTATAGCTGGTTTCTACAATCGCCCATAAGCTCGCCTCACCTCCTAACACAGTCTCTTCCATGTTACCCTCAGATCCACATCCAACTCTGCATATTTGTAGGAAGACAGATTCTTGATTGGTTGGTTCGCTGTTAGAGTTGTTTGCTGGTTATCCTTTCTGGCCAACCGGCCATCTGACTGACCTTCAGTATCAAGTGAAGATACGTGTTGATGAAAGTTTGCGATAGCCTGTTGGAAATGCACCAAGTCTCAGCATCATGTAGAAGCCATCATTGATGATTTGACATCTGTGTTGAAGATCAGGATCTTGTTCTTTATCCTAAGTGAAGCAGATTTTTATACAATGATTTTAGATTACAGAAAAATATAAATTGCTTTTCCCGGCTTGCCTTTAACATCCTAATCCGTGCAGGTTGTAGTTGAAACGATGCTGCCTGCCTGGGTATGTAAAAGAGATTACTTCGCTTGGATTTCTCGTATTAATGGTGAGTAATGATTGTTGTCACTGTTGATTAGATCACCTCCATCCTCCCTATACTCACTTGAAGTTATATATTTGCCGCCCTACTTTCACTTCAGCCACTCAGGGATTGATTGGTTACCAGGGAATAAACTTGTCGACTTAGAATATGCGGATGATATAATCCTCCTAGGCGAAGACGCTGACAAAATGCAGAGTCTTCTGAACACCTTCAGCAGTAATCTGTGAATGTAGAGCTAAAAGTGACTGTCCACTGGTAACTTTTCTAGCTTTGTGTGTGTGTGTGTGAGTGTGTGCTGATCAAAACTGATTAAGGAGTCATAGGCGTACGTTTCATATTTTTGTTGGGACCTATCAGTAAGGCAGTGGTATCAATTAGCTTCACAGTCAGGGCAGTTGACTACTTTATTCAGTGATACAGTGTTGTTATCTGAAAACAGCTGGTATTGTGTCCCAACAAGCACCAAAAATTAATTCAGATTCTCAATTACACCGAACTTTATCATTTGAAGGTAAAAAAAAGAATACAAGTCCATTCATCATTATCAGTTTGGTGTTCAGTTCAATTCAGTTCAGTTTAATCTAGTAGAAATTCCACCATAATAACCAGACGGAAGTATCATACTTTCGTTCATTTTCAAATGTACCACTCCCCACCCCCTCCCCCCATAGTACCAATAAGCTGTGAGTAGCTAACATGATTACCCTTCCTAACCAGTGTTGAGTGAGAGTGAAATAAAATCAGAAAATTTGTTTCATGTACATCGTTCCTTGTAGTCTGCAAAATAACCAACTATATGCTCACAACTCATGTGTAAATAGGTACCTTAAATTTAAAAGTTATGTATACACTTGGAAGCTCATTGTCTATAGTTGCGAAGAAAATTAACTGAATCAAATGAATGGAAGCGTATTGGCGACTGAAGACTACTGGTAAACAGTATATCTGACTGACTGCTTTCAATGAAGAACTTTGCACATATGTCCATGTACCACACAAAGCAAGAGAACAAAGTAAAGAGAAATTCAAAAGAGAGATAATAAATAGGAGTGTGAAGGAAGAAGAATAGTAATATGGAAGAATAATAGAGTTCCATTGGATATGAGAAATCACAAATACATCTCCACCGGCCACTGACAAGGACGATTTCGAGCCATATCACTACCAATAGTCTCCAGATGTCATTGGTTCTTAACAACCCAACCAGAGAGAAGCCTTCACCTCCCTAGGTGGCTGACGTGAACTAACTTTTGTGGATTTCATTGACTAATGGAGCCGTGTTTTCGTTTGACCACCACTAGCTAAGTCTTTTCCAACGGAATCCTGTCAGCCAGCATCGCCTGTCATCGAAAGAGACGATCGTTGACTAGGCATACGTAACACATGTCCTAACCATCTCAATCGATGTGACTTCACAGTCCCATCAACTGATTCCCCCCCCCCTTTTCTAGCATTCGACGCCTGACCTCAATATTCCTCACTCTATTATACCACCCAACAAGGGAGAAAGAACGTAGACACCTATGATCAAAGACAGTTAGCCAACCCTTTCATGTCTTCCATTCTCAGTGACCATGCCTCACAGCTATTCATAAAGGAGGACGGAGCGAACTGCTGCTTAGCAGTACAAACGTCCTTTGGTCGACGGTCAGCCGAGAATCACGTCTACTAAGCCGGAGATGGCTTAGGTTGGCAAGTGCTAAACGAGCCTTCTCTGTCCATGTTGAGATTTCCTCAGAAATCAACCCGTTGGGGCTGGCTGATGCAACCTGCCAAATAAATGTAGTGGTCAACATGCAGTACTACTTCACTCCTGCCCAGCTTTAAGCCAGTAGTCAATACAGTCCAGCCGAGTCCTGTAGCATCATCTTACACATTTGACAGCAGGAGCGAATCGCATACCAGACATTCGAAAAATGCGGTTGGAGGTGTTCAGAAGACTGCATTTTGTCAGCGTCTTCACCTAGAAAAATTATATTATCCGCAAATTCTAGGTCAGCGATATTATTCCCTGATAAAAAAATAACGTATGCCAGTATGTCACATAAGCAGTTTAATAAATCATCTGAAAAATGAGGATAGGAAAATTAGAAAGCAGTGGTACGATACTTCACATCAAATAAACAAAATATATATGACAACTCTAATATATGATGTGTAAAATCATTGAGTGTGTGGTAGTGTGGTGAGAGCAAGCTGCTAGCCAATTGGTAGACATTGATCTACGCTGATTGGTAGAAATTAATCTAGGCTGATTCAACAACCAATCACAGCTGACCTAAACGTGGACAAATATGATTCGCAGACAAGTGGCTCGCATTTCCGAGAAATATCGAAAACCAGAAAGCAGAAGACTGCGATTGTTTGCAAACAACCAATCAGAAGACCGCATTCTTCCTGCGGGCAGAGCCTTATTAATGTACGTAAAATACATATAAATACCTGTTGTTTTTCGTAATAAAACTGATCTGTTGCCAGCCTTGTCTTCTGTTGTTACAGTAGTATTTAATTTCATATTAATTTGTTTATTAGATATATCACGCACAGAGTGAAACAGTATTATTTACTGGATGACAACGCGTTTCGAAAACAATTTATTCGTTGTTCATAACCACATCAGTTATGATTACACAACTTCAGAACCCTATAGTTCTCTTTCTTCCTTCCCATTTGTCGTTGTGATAGTGGATTTTTCCAGATATTTGGGACAGATATTGGATCGCTCCTATACATGTATTCTCGGTCAATTCCACAAGTAAAGCTTCTGTTGTCAGTCTCTCCCCCCCCTCATCCTGTTACATTAGATCCCATTGTATGATTGCGTGCAGTTTAATGCATTGTCATAATTAAGCTGTTTTCTATATTTCTTATCTTATTTGGGTCAACTAACGCAGATCTTGATGCGCTAATCTAATTTACGCCATCCTACCGATTCGGCCTATACAGTTGACCTCAAAATCATTTCAGGGGATTAGATAAAATGAATGATTCAGTCTAATGAGCTCCACAGGACCATTTAACCGACAATTTCGCGGGTTTGAATGGAAATGTTATTCCAGCTTTGTTTAGATTTCCATGTAGGGTTTCAAAAATTCTTACTGAAATTAATTTTCATACTCCTGTTGCCAGCTCACCTATCAAATTCATGCCCAGTCTTATAGAACAAAACCGAAGAATTACTGTTAGAAATAAACGAATACACTCTCCGCTTGACCTACGTGATGTGCTTACTGACGATTTGCAATTAGTTGTGTTCTCTCAGCTGGTTGGTTTAATTGGGGAGCTTTCGTCGTCCTTCTGGACAACGTCTTCAGAGCAAGTTCTAGCACAAAATAAACTGATTTAAATCCCCCATGAATGATAGAATTGTGTCTTCTAGCAACCATCTTCGTGACTGGTAGTCGATTTACATCTGTTGTATTGATCATTTTTTATTGACTTGGATTTTGAACTTTCTTGTCATGTGATTTACTTACTGACGATTGTTACAAAGGCGTATTTACTATGTAGAAGAAACCTCGTGTCACTTTTAACAATGCAAACGACTTTACTGGACACATTTATCCTTGTAAAAACTGCCCTCCACCCCAATTAAGGGACTGAACGAATTGCACGCATTGATCACCAGACAACTAACTGTAACTGATGTACTTAGCTGACACTTAATCACAATGGATTTTGATGTATTCCCTAAGCTTCACTTGGTCACACTGCCAAAACTAGTTACAGTCTACCAACTTCGCACTGTACAAAGCAAAAATGGTTAGATAATAATACAAAAAATAATGTTTTGCCTCATACACTTCTTGTTGATAACTTCAATTTCCCATTTCGTCCTTCTTTCATTTTGGATATGTTGAATACAGAAGAGGACTGAATACAAGTACATCCTAAGCCATTCTACGTTTTGTATTTCTCTAAAAATATTCGCTATTCCATTTACGATTGGCTAACTGAAAGTGAAGACGGCATATAACATTTAAGTGTGCGTGTCTTTACTATAGGTGTGGAATGGAATATGCTTAGGGTGAAGGCTATTCACAGCTGGATATATATATATATATATATACATAAAACAAATAAGTGTTATTGTTACTAATATTCTATTTAGGTGTTAGTTTGTAGGGATTTGACTGGTTTCAAGTGTAACCACGGTTCAATGTCAGTTAGAGAACCGTTGAAAGCTCTTTTTAGTCCAATGACCACACTGACAATCGAACGCAGGACGTTGCACTGATAGTGCTAAGGAATGAAAATAATAATAATAGTAATTTGTTAACATACTTCTAGTCTACGTCTGCATGTATCAAAGAAACGACGGTAACACGATTCTGGATCACGTCTCAACTTTGGTGCTAACTGGCCCCAGTGAATATTTAACAAAAGTAATCTAGCTGGTTTTGCTGCATCAGGTGTTGATTTTGCACTACTTGATAATGCTGCAGACGGTGATGCTGACGCTGCTGCTGCTGCTGCTACCGATGATGATGACAACGAATATGATACTACAGCAGGTACAGTCTGAATTTTAGACGAATCACCAAGATTCGGCTTGTTTCCAGTTGTTGCATCAATAACGGTGGACGTCGTATCAGCCTCCACAGGACGATTTGAATGTCCACCGTCTAGACTTGCATCAGGTGATGGTAGGGCTAGATATAAATCCCATACAAATTCTAATCCAATTAGATCAGGTCGTTCAACATGCTATATAATTGAAGAAGAGAGACGGAGAGAGAGAGAGTGAGTGAACAAACAATTTGTGATCATTTGGATTGGTTCAATTTCAATTGTTGGATTTCATCACGAACCAACCATGAAGCATTGGACAGAGTTGACAAAGACAGAATCCATGGATCGTTGGATTCTGGTCCAAGTGCCTGAACGTTCGACAAGCCTGGTATCCATGACCTGAAGATTCAATGTTCAATCTCTAAGGCGGATATGGGTTCACACCACTGAAGAGCCCCAAAACAAGATGAAACAGCTGTCCAATGTTTCCTGGACAGTGATCCCAGTGATCTTCCAGAGTGATCTTGGTTCATGACGAAATGCATCAACTAGATAACAGTTTATAGTTATTATTATTATTATTAATATGAAAAGAAATAAAAGTACTGATAAGGATAAAGGAAGAGGAATAGAATAGACGATATCAGGAACCTCTTCCTAGTCACCAACGAAACTAGCAAGTAATCTTTACATTTTATACACGAATTTCCCTTTAATGAACTTAAACAAAGCAGTAGCAACAACATACGACACAGGACAAAACGGATCCATTGGTTATTTCGTCAGACGATATCTTCTCAACTATATTATCATCTAATAAACATCAATCATCCTTCATATTATCTCATATATAACGAAATGAGTTTAACTCACAGCTGCCTTTTCCTTTTTCTGTATCTCCGAGGTACTAAACTATGATAGAACTATAATAAAATTTAATATTTGCTTTAAATTCAATTTTGATTGACTGGACCGAGATGTTCCTCCACCTAGTACGGGCCGCTTCGATGATGTCTGGCGAGTAGCTTGAAGTAATTTGGTAGATGGTGACTAGCATTGGAATTCAGGGCGTGGAATTTATCCAGTTTGGGACTAGTCGTCATCTGGATGTAGCTGCATTCCCCAGTGAGGAAGCGATAATGTCTTCACAGAGACTCAAACCCAGGACCCAGTGTTCCAAACGCTAAAGTATTATCCTCTAGACTACTTGGAACATGAGAGTCACCTTCTGTGCAACAGGCTTCAGTTATCACTTATTTTTAATTCGGCTTTGATTTTCCCGTTGATTGATTAGGTCGAAATTCAATAAAATCATTAAACTTGATTTCGCTGACAAGATATACCAACGAAATAAATAATTGATCCGTTTTATCCTGAATGCAGCTTGTCCCGGCTTGCCGGAGTTTTGTCTTCCGTGCATCATTTATTCTTTCAAGGATAATTCGACTTAGTACTTTACTTGGTGTGGACAAGAGCATTATTCCACACCAATTCTTTCAGAGTCGGGTGTAAGTTGCCCTTCTCTGGTAGCCTGACAAGGTAGCCTTCCTTCCAATCCGTAGACACCTTTCCTTCTCTCCAATCCTTTTGCAGTAATGGCGTGAGCACAACTGCCGCAGTCTCTGGCTTTCAAGGGACAGACTTACTTTAAGAGTGGTGTGAAACAATCGGTTCGCTGAAAAGTGCACCAGCTTTTCCTGCAGACCATTTCGACTTAATAATAATAATAGTTTTATTCTGTACAAAATGCTTACACAATATTTATATTTCTCAGTCCAATTTTTATCATTAAATTTCCTCTTTATCCAGGGTCTTCAAGTAAAATAGCGGTCTGTAGTGTACTACTCGATGCAATGCAGTTCAATCTGAATAAAGTATAGAATATTTCTCCTTCATCTCCAATATATGCGCACCGGTGGTTTGAAAGCCAATAAAAAGGCGCTTGAGTACAGTTCGCGAGCCGCCTAACATAGCAGCCACATTGCAAACTTGGCTGTGATAAAATTCAGTCTGCACCAAACAAAAGGACTAGACGCGCATGTCACTAGTTAGGGTCTAGTCAAAGTATCCAATACAGTCAGTCCTACAGGAGGTCAATCGCCAGCCAGAATAGCACACTGGCAACGTCTCTAACTTCAGCTCTGGGTGACACAGGTTTGAATCTCAGAAGGAACATAAGTTGTTCCTCCAAGATTTCAGATACGCCTGGCTGACCAAACAAGCCAACAAACACTAAACCGAGGTCGAAGGCCTCCCGTCAACTGTCTCTAATCATCGGATAACAACAATAATGCACTTTGTTAAATAGCAAATCAACTGGCCCAGTGATTCAAGAGGACTCCTCAAAAGGAGAATATTTACCTATCAGTACGAAAATATAAGAAGAAGGTAATTCTGTAGCAAGGCTTTATTTCGTGTGGGGAAGGTGGTTTAAGGCATTACGTACCTAGCCAAACTGAAAATGCCGCAAAACAAGAGCATTTTAATAAATAGTACTGCCTAAACGAATACAATCAGAACATCGTAATAGGCGGAATAGTGACAGTAGCAAAAGAAAAACAAATATGTAAGAAATTAGCATACCCATGATTTTGCCACCTGTTTCATACGACCTTCGTTTAAATTGACTTTCTCAAAAAAGCCTCTAAAACATTCAAACCCTAAGAGGAGAAGGGAACAAAACGGATAGCATTAATAATAATGACAATAGTGACGAAAGTAAAACAGAATAGCAGTAACGTTGTAGCCGTATCGCTTCTCCCCATTAAAACAAACGATACTAAAAACGGAAAACAAGCGTTTATTATCCCAATTGATTAGAAATGTCCATTATAAATTGCAAAAGACTAACTGTTGAACAAAGAATATTCTTTTAGATAACTTCTTCTACACTGTTTTCTACAGTTATATGTGCGCATAGTAATCAAACGCTGAACTGAACATCAGAACTTAAAAGCAAACGATGATCAATAATAACATATATGTGGCAGTGATTAATGCTCATATTGAAATTTATTCATACTGCTTATAAACTTCATATGGATGAAGGATGATATCATGAACAGGGAGATAAAAATAGAGTAGAAGGTTGTATGTGCCTGTGTTAGTGTATAAGTGAATTATTAAGGATAGATTAAAAAACTTCAGTCATTCAACAAGTATAATAAACAAAATTTTTTATGAGCTGTGATCAAAATTTTACCTCGGACTTACAGATATTGGTCTACCTTTGTTAAACACTTTAAACAGAGTGTGTGTATGTGTGTGTCTGGGTGGGTGGGTAAACAGCTGTAAAACATTTCTTAACGTCTCCAATTTTGATCACACCTCATAAAAAAATTTTGTTCATTATACTTGTTGAATGACTCATGTTTGGATAAAATTTCTGAAATCAAGTGATCTTCCCTTTATATATAAACCTCTGTTATGTTAATTTCGATTAATTTCCCTGAAGAAGTTCGGACCAGATTGCCGAACACAAGAAACGTTGGAGTTACTCATTTCAATCTCGCTGAGATTTTACAAATATAATTTTTTACAAATGTCTACTTCTCACTCGGCGCCCAAATATTTTAGAACTATTCTGTCAAATCTTGACGACAGTTAATTTGAAAAATAAAGTTTGTTTCAAATTTGATCGCGTATTTTAATAATTATAATTTGCTTTATTCCAAAACACTACACGTGATGCAGAATGGAATTCTCAGCATTTCACTACAGTATTGCATCTAGTTTGTACATTAGCAATAAATAAAATTCTACATAGATTATGGGTAGTCTCAGTTAATTTTGACAACAACATAATAACATATCGGTAGCAAAGCCAAAATTGAACAGAATGTTTGAAGGTGTTAGAAAAGTAGATACTAGCATATTTACTGGCGTAAGCGGTAACAAAAATGTCGAGATATACAGGGTGTGAAAGAACGAAGAAGAATGTTTTAAACAGAGTTTGTAAGGAAGAGAGAAACAAAACAGTGCATAGCAAAAAACAGAGAGAGAGAAAAGAAAAAGAAAGAAAGAAAACGTTGTACCTATAAATGACATGAGTAAGAAAGACGAGATCCAATTGTTCTACTGACTATTTAATAAGTTATAAGTATCACGCCTAATGCTTTCTTTATCGCATAGAACACGAGCCAAGTAGGGTATGGTTGAGTTTTTGTACTTGCTAGTGTGAGTATGTAGTTTTCTATATAGCCTTCTGGTTTTGCCTGATGAGATGCAAGGGAAGAGTTGTGAGTGAAGAGGGTGGTGTGGGTTAGATAGAATGGATTTAGCCCATTTTTCAAATGAGTCCAAGTACCTGTCGACCAGAATACTGGGATATCATGGTGAAATGGCAGTTGCTCCCTCCTAGTTTGGGACTCTTCAGAAGTATGAACCCACGGGGGTTCGAAACCAAGACCTTCCGGTCACCAGGTAAGCTCACAGACGATTCAGTCATTGGGAATGGAATCAGTGGCCCGTGAATTTGAACCACTGAGGTCCACCAGGCCGGGCGTGATGGCAAATACTCGCCGATGACATTGGCTGGTGGTCACGCTTGATATATAGACCTAATTGTCTACATATCATTTTTACATCTCTGTTTGTATTACTCTCACCCCACTTATTGATTTATAACCTGATTTTATTTCACCCTACTTATGAACTTTGAAATCCTTTTGGTTGTTCAATGTCATAATTTATCAATGACATTAGTGCTTCACAGGGTCTTTTTAAACATATACATAGACAAGTGCCGTCAACCTGTTTTGACTGTTTTTTGAGACAGTATAAGCTCATTTATCAACTTCCAGTCTTTTCTTCTGTCTTTGCTGCCCGGCAGAGTTATTATTATTATTATTGCCACTGTTGACGTGCGATTAAGATAGATTAACCAGAGCATTAAGTTAGTATTAGCTCATAGTCTACTTGATCGTAGTTCCGGTTGTAACAGCGCTAAAATCACCAATTGGTAGGGGTTGGAACACACGGGCCACTGAACAGGGTCCCATTGGCCGAATAGTCTATGAGAGCTACATAACAAACTGGCAAAGGTGGGTTCTATGGGTTACTGAATTAGAATTGCATGCTTGATGTTTAAGCCTCATGGTCTCAAGGCCTACTCCTAGCAGTGTTGTAGGTGTGTACGGAACAGCCTTCTCTAAAACTGTCTAATATTGAGAATTTGTCTACAGGATTTTGCCTAATTACGGAATCCACCCCCAAATCAAATTAAGTATAATAGGGAAATAATTGTACAAAAAAACAAAAAAACAACAGGCTTAACAGAATGCAATACGGAATAACTTACCAGCGATTGAACGAAATAACGCAGGATTTGATTTCAAAATTACTTTCGTGAAGACGAATGTTTGAGCATCAGTGTCAAGAAAATTCAAGCATGACGAGAACCAAATAAATGCTTGCTAGAGTGTAGCAAATTGTAGTAAAGTGTTATGAGAGAGAAAAAAGGAATTGAAATAAGAACAAATTAGTTCAGCGAAGAGTCTCTTTTCGGCGAATTCATTCACTTAGCTGTACAGTCGCAAATATATATACAATTATTTTGTGTGTGTGTACATTAGGTTTGTCAAAATCAAAATCAAAATAACAGTTAGTGTGGGTTGTTGATTATATCATCAAAATAATAAAGAGATTAAAATGTGTGATTAATAATCAAAGTTGTAACTAAGTGGGGTGAAGATTGGTAAGATGTGAGTAGGGTTACGTAATATAGACATGTTTAGAAAGATTAGATGCTAGTGAAGGAGTTTGGAGACAAATTATGAAAATAAACTAGATAATAGGTGAAAAGATTGAATGGGTTAGTTACCGAAAATTGTTATACGAAAATTGCAAAAATTTGATAACAAAATGTTGATGACAAATAAACTTGAAATTAAACCCACGGTAGTAGGAGGGGGTGGAGAAGTTTCTTCTGTGTGCATAACTCAGGCTTTTCTATCCAAATCGCTAAGGCTTCAGCAATACAAAGTATACGGAAGCTTGTCGATTTTGGAAGGCTTCTTTTGACTTTATAGATGACTTTGAACGACTTCTCCTTGCAAATCGAATGACCAGTGTTGAGTATATGCTCAATAATGGCGCTCCTTATTGCTCCGTTGTTACCTTTCCGTAGCCAGGCGGGATAGTGTTCTTGAACTCTTTTAGATAAAACACGCATCGAACGACCTATATACTTCGCTCCACAAAAGCAGGTGAATTGGTAGATACACATGGAAGTGGTCAAATGAGATAGTTTATCTTTAGAGTAGTTGAAGAACAATGGCCGGGAGGAAAATGTCAGTCGTAGTGTGGCAGCGAAGAATGTCCTTCTGAGAGCAGTAGATATCCTCTTCTTCAAGGTGTCAGCCAGAAGGTCACCTTTGAAGGGTACATTCATGTAGACTATCTTTTTCTGCACTGTAATGGGTTGTTCTTTGTACGTCTTAGGCTTAATGTGCTTCTCTATAAAACGGGGTGGGTAGCCATTCTCGAGCAGTGTCTTCCTTAAGAGGGCGATCTCTTCCTCTATTGATTCAGGACTACAGATTTTTCGGATTCTAGTGGCTAGATATATTATCAAGTTTCGCTTGCGGCTTATTGGTACCCAACTGTAGAAGTTTGTCAACTGACCGTTCCATGTAGGTTTTCTGTGTACTGATCTGTTCAAGGTACCATCGGTCTTCCTAATTAAACGAACGTCCAGAAAGGAGATTGTCTCATTGGTTTCTACTTCGATTGTAAATTTGATGGCGGGGTGGAAACTATTGAAAACTTGAAGAAAAATATTTTGATCACAATTGTTATCGCAGATGACGAAAGTATCATCGACATACCTTTTGTATAAGAAGAATTTGTTGATGGTTGCTTTCAGGGGACCGTTTGCCAAAATTGCCATGAAAATATCAGCCAGCACCGGACCCAAAGGTGATCTCATCGCCACGCCATCTTGTTGTCTATAGAAGTTCCCATTGAATGTGAACTGGACATTAAGGGTACATCTGAGTAGAATTTCTTTTAGCTTGGTGGTAGGTATTCCAATATTCAGGTTGTTTTCTTCCAAGTATTTGCATAGAAAACAAATCGTCTCAGTGATAGGGACGTTTGTAAAGAGAGACTCGACGTCGAGTGAAATCATACGTTTGTCTCCCACTTTAACATCTTTGATACAATCGATGAATTCAAAAGTATCTCGAAGAGAATGTTTTGAAATTCGTTCTCTAAAAGGTTGTAGGAGTTCTGCTAGGCATTTCGCTATTGGATGATATGGAGATCCCGACACGTCCAAAATAGGGCGCAGTGGAAGACCCTGTTTATGAGTTTTTGGCAATCCGTATAGTCGGGGTATTATTGAACCTAACCCATTCAATCTTTTCACCTATTATCTAGTTTATTTTCATAATTTGTCTCCAAACTCCTTCACTAGCATCTAATCTTTCTAAACATGTCTATATTACGTAACCCTACTCACATCTTACCAATCTTCACCCCACTTAGTTACAACTTTGATTATTAATCACACATTTTAATCTCTTTATTATTTTGATGATATAATCAACAACCCACACTAACTGTTATTTTGATTTTGATTTTGACAAACCTAATGTACACACACACAAAATAATTGTATATATATTTGCGACTGTACAGCTAAGTGAATGAATTCGCCGAAAAGAGACTCTTCGCTGAACTAATTTGTTCTTATTTCAATGTCTTAATGGGTATATTTCGCGAATTAAAAAAGGAATTGTATGCTGTTAGAAAGTGAGATATTTTAAGCAAAATGTATGAAAATATGCATTCACAGCTGAACGGGTGAATTACTGTCATTGGTTGACTTAAATTTTAGACAAATTTATTTTAATAATGAACTGGTATCAATCAGCCTTGTAAACACAGAACTACAGGAAGTGTTACACACTGTTATTTTATGTCAAACCGTGAACTAACGTCAACCAGCCACCTATTTGTCTCTGTACTCAGTAACCATCCCTTGGGTACCGAGTGGAACATACAACTTCATCAACATATCTCCATTTTACACTATTCTTCGACGTCAAACTATATACTGCTGATTGATTGCGATGAGTAGTCGTATGCCACTCATCACATCAGTCAATCAGTAGTATATGTATAATTTAACGCATTTACGCTAACTTCATTATGGATAAGATTTTATTTTGATGAATCACACAGTGTTGTTATACAGTAATATTAACTGATGACCACGTTTCGAGCACAAACTATTGTCCAAAATCATATCCAAGCACTACTCACACAACTTTTTTCTTCATTTATGTACATGTGTGGGATTGACCAGATATTTGAGTAAAAATCAATATAGCATAATGTAGATTCAGAAATAATAAAATGAGTGTTATGAATCAAATGCAGTCAGATGGGAAATGAAACGAGCGTTTTTATAGTCAAAATAAGTAACTTCTTAGAATGTTGTGATGTGTTTGAATTGAAATAGAACTTCGAGATTATTTATTATCCTCCTCTGATTTGACTGACTGGCGGTAATAATATCTTCCATATTTCTTGTATTTGCATTGAGTCATTTCTGCTGCACGTGTTGAGTGTAGACTCAATGAACCAGGATTAGGTAATCAATCTCTCTCTCCACCTACGTAGATTACTACCTATAATCTTAACCCTCTCCCACCCTACTGTGTGGTTGTGCCCGTAAAAATAAACGCCACTGCTACCGAAACTTCAAGCCTCTAGCCTTTGAGCCCAATGTTCCACTGGGAATGTAAAGGAATAAGAAAAGGCACCCTTACCTTTTATATTAATGTGTATGATGAATACCCGTGTATAGTCAGAATGTCCAAAATGTGTTACGCAAATACACATTACACGCTTCAGGAGAATTACGTCTCCTAATTATTTTGTTGAAACTCATGAGGGGAATCAATCGCTTTAAACTGTTGTAAAAGATTCTGTAATGTAACATAATTGTTTGTAGAGCCATGTCGCATTGACAGCATTCATCTTCGTGCATTTGCTAATTTTATGCCTATTGCATAATCGCTCATACATCTGGCGGTTGGCCAAACTGAAGCGTATGTGGATAGGTGTGTAACCGCATAAAAACCTGTCTAGACGAGACAATAAACAGTGTTCTTTTTCTTTTCTTCCAGATAAAATATTCAGGAATCAGTTCTGTAACACAAGAGAAGCAACAACTTCTGAGACTTCGTATTAACGGGGACTAAAAGACTGATAGGTTGTGAGGGCTTGGCCACAGCATTCCGGCTTTTGAAATTGTCCTGAATACAGGTTCTTGCTGAGCTCTTGTTCCACTTTTATCTTTTAATTAACCGTTGTTCCATGTACTATAGATTGATGTTAAATGTCTCCTATGTCCGGGAACCCAACAACCTATTGTAATTCGTCAGCCGTCTGGTGGGCACTCCCCAAAGCTCTTCTAGGAAACAGCACAAGAATGCCCATGATCATCTCACTATAGGGCCCACCTATTCAACAGGTGACTACGTTTGGCTTGATCGACTGTCGGTCGCTGCCAGATGATTCCCCTATTTTTACATCTAGTAGAAGGGTTCCTATTAAATCGTACAACACCAGCTGCCAACTACTATGTTCTGTGGTAGCTGCAGCCGCCACACATTATAGCCAATTGAAGTGAAATCATTCGGCCTTACCAAAAGAACCATCGAGTCCATCTCAACTGCTACCTGCCCTCATCCATTACGAGGTTCCAACAGAATCAGGTAGCACCTATCCGACACCACACCACTGAGGGCAATACCTCGAAACGAAAAGGGGCGATGCTGTTGCAAGTGATTAATTATTGCAGCAGAACTGAAATTCTTGATTCAGCGGTAGACAGTCGAATACCAAAATGAACCGGTCAAACCTGCACAAAAAAAACTTTTCACAGCAATCTTTATACAGCAATAAACAGAGTGAATTTTATGCTGATCACTTATCTCCTTCATGGTTCATAAATCGCTTATTTTGTCCAATGATCCAAACGAAACGTTCATTATGATTGTCGTAATGCAATATAATGCAATAGCCATGTCATTACAGTGTAATGTGTAACACTTTTTTTAAACTGTCTGGGCATAATACTTACTTCACGATCAAACGGTGCAGCTCGTGTCTGACCAATTAATGTCTCCCACAGCGCTTTTGCACGTTCAACACTCAATGTGAGTTCTACATTGCGTAGCAAGTAATGCAGAAGATCGAAATGTCGCTTTATCACCTTAAATTAGAATTACACAGAACAGTGAATGATATTTAATAATCAGAGTAAAGCTTATTCTTATAATATGTACATAAAGAGACAGAACACATATAAGGACTCTGGCTGTGCAGATGAAGATCTCTGTTTTAAGAATGGAGAACTACTAACTTCCCTTCATATATGTGTAAAACTTGGACACTGTGGTAGTATGTAATTCCACATTAACTTGTTGAATGGATATATCACACATCGCGAAACAGTAATCTTTACTGAAAGACGTTTCGAACACAATTTATTGTTCATAATCATTTCATCAATTTATGGTTGTGTATAATCGCATGTAGTGAGTGCTCTAGCTGAACTATTCTCTAGATTTCTCATCTTATTCGGGTCAACTAATCTATATTTTTTATGCTCGCTTAGTCCGACTGCACCTGTTCCACTACTCTGATCTATGTATTTGACCTGACAATCATTCAGGCAGGGTATTAAATAAACCAAATTGTTTTGTTTTAGAGGATCCACAGGATCCTTAAACCGACAATGCTTGTTTCTAATTGAGTTTGTGGGTTTGAGTGCCACTTTTACTCCTGCCTTGCTAAGAATTCTGCGTAAGGCTTCCGAGGTTCCTTCTTTGTATGGAATTACTACTGATGATTTAGATTCCTTATCGTTGATGTTGTCATTATCCTGCGCATGTTTGACATGCATTTCATCATTAATATTACTATTATTACTATTATTATTACTAATATTATGAACAATTTAAATAATTAATATTAATTAATATTATAAACAATAAATAAATTGTGTTTGAAGCGAGTTGTCATCCAGTAAATAAAACTGTTTCTCTCTGTGTGTGGTATATCTAATCAACAAATTAATGTTGAATTCTAATTTCCCCTCCAGTATTATCTGCTCCTAGATATCACACCTGCTTATATCCCATTGATCTCGGTCAGACTAATTATATATATATATATATATATACATACATACATATATAATTCCTTTACGGCTCTGAGTAGAACATACGGACGGCTTCAGAAGCATATCTCATTGTCACTCTGTTCTCCTTTCTACTGTCTAGCTGACTGCATGTTTGCCCTAAAGCTTTGATTTCCCCTTAGCACACACACGCCTAACTCGTTTCTCATTAGCGTTTCACTAGATAGCCTCCTTGCAATGTCACTCAACGATCTCCCTAGCGTCTTTCCACTCTATTTCTATTTTCTTCGAAATCTCTGTTGGTTTGGTAGTAGGTTCTTACCTGTTGGTTCTTTGGCTGGCAGTATTCCATGTTGGTAATCCTTTCTGACAGGCCATCTGATCTTCACTATGGACCGAAGGCAACTACGGTTGGTGGAAGTCTGCATCTGGCTTTATGAAATGCATTTAGTGAAAAGTCAAGTGTATGAATCATTTGGAAGCCCAACCCCTCCCCACCAGTGACTTCACATTAGTCTTGAAATTCCGACCCTTATTGTTTATGCTGAGTACAGGAGCTTCCCATAATGACTTCAGAGAAACGAAGATGTGTCTTGCTTTTACAATCTTAGCTGGTTTTGACATGCTCATCCACGACACCACTTGTTGTTGAAATGATTCTATCTAAGTAAGTGAAAGTGCTCACATCTTTTCGATTTCTCCTAATGATGGTGGTGGTTAACGTCTGTAATCGATGGTCGATAGGTATCATCATTAACTTTCTCTTTGCCATGTTCAAACCGATTACCGTGACCTAATTATTCCTATCAACTTATGCCAAGCGTTGACCACATCACTGTGAACATCATACTCCAATCATTTGACAGCGTGCTTGATTGACGCTTATTCCGTCTTCTAATTCCCATTCATAATGTCACTGACCGACTGATTCTAGTGCCTAGGAATCTGATTAGTCACTACAAGCAACCCCCAACCAACCAAACAAAATTCCCTACATAACCAATACTTGAAAATTAATCTGATGCTCACTAGCGACTTGTCCTATTCAGGTAGTTAACCTAGGGTTCTAGTGGGAAGCCGTGACCAGTAAGGTACAGCAGGGTGAAGATGAGGCAGTAACTCGTCGAAGAAGACATTGCGATGTGGTCGCGCTATGTCATGAATTAGCAGAAGTAAGAATTCATGGGTTGGCCATTGGATTGGATCGGGTCGGAGAGGCTAAATGGCCTACGAGCTAGCTCACCTTGCAACCATAAGGTCCTGGGCTCGAACCCCGGTGATGGGTGCGTACCTCAGAAGAGTCCCACACTAGGTGGAATGAAAGAGCTGGCTGCCCAGTACTCCCTGCAGGTTTTCCAATGGTTCTCTAACTGATGTCAGCTCATGATGAAATCCTCCAACCAGAATCCAGTCTAACTTCAAATCGAAGTATGTGCTGAAGATGTTGCCTAGTAGGGCAACGAAAGCTTCGCAAGTTAACCATCCAGCTTAGAGAACACAACTACATCAGAAGTATGACATTACACAGATATTCAAGACAAACAAAAGGAAGAGAAAAGAAAAGAAAATTAATAATTGATTGATAATAGGACAAGCTCTTCGACCAACTTACATCACTATGCCGGAAACCAAGTTCATCCAAACTGTCTGCTGTCAGTAGATCACCGTGAGATGAAATAGCCCATTTTTCATAGTGTAATAAAGAGTCAACCACACGAGTAATCAATTCATACGATCGATTAAGTTCATGCAGATGATCCTTTTAAGTAATAATAATAATAATCAATAAATAAAATAAACATGATAAACTGTGCATTTATTACGGAATAATAATTCCTAATACAGTGTCATGTAAAAAATTAAATTGATTTCGTGAAACAAACTATTGTTACTTGCAAGTAGATCAACAGGAGTTACAGTAACTGTAAGTTTATCGTTATGCTTATTATTGTTCCCTTGAGTTGCACGTGGAACACAGGCCTTCAAAAGCACACCTCCACTTTGTTCTGTTTTCTGCTCTCCACTTTAGTCGGCTCTACGATTGCCCAGAGTCTCGCATCCCCTCTTTGCACGACCCACTAGTCGTTTCCCATTCGGGTTCCACTCGAGTGATGGCCTGAAGCACGACGTCATGTGACGGTCTCCTCACTGTCAGCTAGTTACCATTGTTATGTATCTTTCGTCCCTGGAATTCCGAGTAGAACTTAGAACTTTACCAGGACATCTCTGTTTTACCCTATCTCAGCTAGTTCCATCATCACCTACAAACTCTCGCTTCTTCACCAAATAATCGTATCCTCTATATCATTGCTGAACACATGACCACATATGTCCACTCGAGGGTACAACTGGTGTATGATGCCAGTTAACCGTCGCCTGAGCATATGTCTAATCCCTCAATTTCCTTCTGCATTTTTGATGTGTAATAAGTCCTCGGTTGACTTGTTGTTGACCATGGTTTCTGGTACTTTACTCTGACTGACTGACCGTCTAATATTTAGAAATGAACAGTGAAGCCAACTGTTGGTGAAATTCTGCAATCTGTTGGAAATGCTTTCGATGGCGCACACGCCAGATCTCTAAACCTTACAGAAGCTCTGACTTGAAATAATTATTAAAAATTCTGGTCTTTTTCCTTGTGCCAAGTGCTGATGCTGCTCAGGTAAGTGAAAGAGACAACTTCCATCATATTTCTGCTGTTTGTGGGGATTCGTGGGGCCCGGCATACTCATCACCTCTGTTTTCTATCTATTCTTCTGAAATTCTGCCTCTTTCGCTTGTAAATCTTCACTTTGGTACGATATTAGACAAGTCATCCACGAAGTACTGTACACCCAAATTTAATGATTCAAAACTGTGTTACTGTGCGAAATTTTCAGTGTATCTAAACAGCCCCAATTTTTAAGCTTTACTTATTAATTGGTCGAAAATGTGCATTCGAAATTTCAGCAAGAGTGAACAATAGACACCAAAGCCAAATGACCTTGATTTGACCAATCAGATAGCTCAGCATTACAAATGGATGCTAGTCATAATCCTCGTTGCAAATGTCACCTAGGTTTGGTTTTTGACTTCCCTGAGGAAAGTGGGTTGATAGGGAAGACTAAAACATGCATATGTGGAGGGATAATGACTTTGCAAAAATATTGCCGGGCTAGTGATGGTTATGCATTCAGATGCAACCATGTTATATGACGAAGTCTGTATAAGTTGATAAGTCGTATCTAATTGGTGTTTCTTTTAGACACTTTCTTCTCGAAATCATAGCTCTCCCTTAGTAATATATTGCGTATATGTAACCAATATCTGCTACAACTGGAGAAGTAGAGAATACATTGGTTTGAAATGTCTATAACCAATCCTATGAGAATCTGGGACCGGTTTTCGCAGCATGTTAGAGATATATACCCTATATGATTCGTTTTAATCACAAATATATCGTAGATACACTTTTAAATTGAGTACCACTTTTCACCTAGAAGAATCTGATTGGCCGTTTCCAGGTCGCCTCTAGTTGGTGTCTGTTCTTTACTGTTGCTGAAATTTCAAAAGACTGATTACTGCACAAAGCATATTCTTTTTGATAACCTGCTCTTTATCAAGTCCTACAGTTATATACATGCATGAGTATGAAACAATTTGGGTTATTAACAAGATTAATGCTGTTTTAAATAACATCGAATCGATCAATAGTAGCATCTGTAAGTGTGATAATATGCATCAACACATAACACCACACTGAATGAATATCAGACAAATTGAGGATAATAATAGTAATAATAATGCAGAATTCATGAATTTATAGGCTCCACAGAAGGCCAGGGCAGTAACAGTAGCTGGCTGGACGTGTTTCTTCTGCACACAGAACACAAGTTGTTTTAGGTGAGTGGCAACGGCCTATGCTGTTTGGTATGGTATTCGGCATCTGGTTGCTTTATGCAATTCATGTGGTAACCTGTAGATGATGGAGAAGGATTCCTCAAAGCTAGCTTTATGACCGGTCCCTTTGAAGCAGGTGGTCTAGTATCAAGATGTTGATGGTTTTCACTACACCATTATTTAGGCGTTCCGCAGCACGAAAAATCAAGTCCCTAGAGCAACGGCCATTTCAACTTGCTCCACAAGCATAGTTGAATTGGTAGATACAATTACACGTGTCTAGTCTAGGCACTTCATCTTTCAATTGGGGAATCACAACCGATCATAAAGAAAAAATGATTTGTGGTTAACCAGCATTAAAAATTCTTTGAATAGATTTTTTCATAACTTGTTGGTAATTATTTCATTCGGTAGGTTACCCTTGAATTTCAGCCATACACATAGTGTCTTCTTATTCACAGATACAGATACGAATCCCGGTGGGTGAGTACTGTTGAAGAATCGTAAACTAGGACAAAGGAAACAGCTGTCCAGTATTCCCAGGCTTTCCAATCGTTCTCTAATCGATGTCAGCTCATGATGAAATCCTGTAACCACTCATTAAATCCCTACAAACCAATACTTGAAGATACAGAATAGCTGTATACGATTTTCTTGGTAATGTGTTTTATACTAAACTTTTCTGGGTAGATATTTTCAATCAAGGTGTTACATGCAAATCTTAAGTTCATCTTCGATTGCATCTTCTGAACATATAACTCTGATCCCTTGTAATGCACAGGAACAAAGCTATGAAAATGTGTATATTGTCCTGTCCGTGTGCTTTTCTTATGCAAATTTCTGTTCATGCTACCATTTGGTTTTCTTGTAAGAAGGAAATCTAGGAAAGGAATTCTATTTTACTTATTAGCTGTGATACTTTCAAGTGAAGAAAGCTTTCTTGAAACTAGTCACTCATAGAACAATTCAAACTGTATGAATTCAGTATTATCGTTAACTTGAAACTGGACTAGTCATTCATCGTCACAGAAATAAGTTTCATCGATTAGGAGAATTAGAAACTTTCAAATAAAAACCTGTCAAACAATACGCAAAAAGTTCCAAAACAGCTAGAATAATCTAATTATGAAGTTTGTGAGGAAATTTGTCAGTGTTAACATCTAAGGAATCTTCACATAATACATCGACTCTCCATAAGCTGGAGAGAAAACAAAGCCCTTGAGAAGCGACGGAAAACTTGCTGTTCATCCGTTCAGAACTCTCCAAAGATGGTCACGTACAACCAACCACCCGGCAAATTTGAAATACTTTGCATGACAGTAAAATGTCTCACAGGGACTATCTTAATACCATTCAACTACTTCTTCTTATCTTTCTTTTTCCTTCACGTTCCTCAGTGGAACATAGGGCTTCAAGCTAGTGGCTTGAAGTTTCTGTAGCAGTGTTTAATTTTTACAGGATGGGGTTGCTAGCCTCATGCCCAACCTTTCCTCTTCACCAGCATTATTTCTGGCTTAGCGAGGTAAAGGAATGCGTCGGCCGGTGATCGAACCCCAGACCATGTGCATGGTCGGCGAGCATTCGTTAATATATGCATATCGGTAAATTTCTAAATGTTGAACTCTGTAGCCTGGAAGCCGTTCACTGGTATGTTAGATGGCACTATCAATAAGTACACTATCACAATTTCTGTAGTGACATATCCAGATTATCTATGACACGATTGATTGTTTTAGTAATCGGTGTGTCATTATTATCTCCACATATATTCTGACTGACTCATTTTGCTGACTTCATCCTTAACCTCGTCGTTATTTTATCTTTTTTACACTAGTCGAGGTAAGCATCAACAAACACTCAAGTGGCACCAATTACATAGATAACTACAGAGATACGTTCCACTGGATAAATACAGAGATTCTACACTGAAAGAATAGAAAGGAAATTTTTCTAAAACGATTGTCCCTCAGGTTAATTTGTAATCAACAGACATATCAATCTGGACTGATCGACTAGTAACAAACAGACACAAATAATTACATAGTTAAAGGTCAGTCTAACGAAGCATCTAGTTGGAATACATATGCGTAGATAGTCATGCAGCATGACTCATACTGAGATATCTAACGACGGTCCATATCATCCGGATATGCTGATAAATGATTCCTCACGAAACACTATTAGCTTACCACTTCGTAAAGTGCATGCTTATATACAACTAACTGTCTGGAATAATATACTAAACCATCCAAATAACAGAATATAACACCGTCAAAAGTTATTCATCTAATCTACAAATCGTTAATCACCAGAATATATAAGTGATAAGAATAACGATAATTAAAATGTTATAAGGGGTAGAGTTGAAGTGGGTGAAAAACAAAATTATTACAGATTGTTTTATAAGTGAATTGATATCAGAAATATTTTTTTTAATGTCAAGCATTGTCTAAAAATTTTAAAAATCACCAGAATAGAAAATTATACAACAGAAAAAGAATTAAAATATATTTATTTATTAAAGTGTGTGAAAAACTTATTTGATATGGGCATAGGTTAGCAAAGAATATACTCTCTTTAACTTCTCATCAAAACTGTACAATTAAATAGTGTTCAAAAAGGTCATGGAAATGTCAGTAAAGGTCAGTTTATTAACACCATTCAGTAACAAAATAAATAAAATAACATATCATAAAGAAAGATGGATAGATTGTGACACTTAGGTAAGTAGTCTTGCGTAATCTAACAACATTAAGTGATGAGTAGTGTTCAGAAATGATTATCATTAAAACTGTAAACTTTCACAAAAAGGAGTTTTATTCATAGAAGTAAGAGATTCAGAATCTGTGTAAGGTTTATTTTTCTGTCCACAGAGAAATCTCTCACTGTACACAAAAAAAAGCCATGAACTGTGTATGAAAAGTGGTTTGTCCATTTTATTTTATTACTATGACCTATGACCTTAAGTCTTTTTTGACTTGTGCTCACAGTCGGCGACCTGCTTAAAACTTGGGCTACCAAAAACTTATATTTCTTTATTTTTTTTTAAGAGTTGATCACGGATTGATATCAGTTAGAGAACCATTGAAAACAAGGGAGTACTGGACAGCTGCTGTTTCATCCTAGTTTGGGAATCATCGGCAGTACGCACCCACCACCAGGGTTCGAACCCAGGACCTTCCGGTTACAAGGCAAGCTCGTATACCATTCAGCTACTGGGACCCGATTCGATGGCCAACCCATGAATTCTAACTTCTACCAATTCGTGATTTAGCGCAACCCCAACCATTGTCGTTGGTGGGACATCCATCCACACACGTGATATCTAATTGGACCTCACTGGTCACAACTTCGCAATAGAATTCCAGGAAGCTCCATCCTGTAGCAAGTCACCAGCGAGCATCAGATTAATTTTCTATAGTTTGGTTTGTAAGGATTAGTTATGTTTTTACGAGTTGATCACGGATTGTCCAGTACTCCCTGATTCTCAATGGTTCTCTAACCGATATCAATCCGTGATCAACTCGCAAAAAAAAATAACTAACCCTTACAAACCAAACTATAGAAAATATTTCTTCATTGTATATATTTTCTGTCATTCGGTTTGTTTTAATCGATTCAAATATGACCTCCAATGGTATTATCTACACTCTTGTGTGTATTTAAAATGTTCGCAAGCATGTAATTCGCAAGTTCCTCCTAAACTTGAGGAAAGGCCTTATTTATGAGTGGCGACGTGTTCCAGTGCTTGAGATAACTCTTCTTCCGTTATGTCCTAGGGTCTCAAAATGTACTAATGAACATATTACAAATGGCTGTCAACTAGATATCGTGGATTTCTTGAAGGAGACAAAGCAGATATGTACATCATAATTGAATGGTTTGTGTTTCAGCTCAGAAATATTTTACTTGAAGATATTGTACAAAGGGGAAATATCATGCAATAAACTCCTTTAAAAATTCTGTACATTTTTTATAAATACTGTCCAGAATAAAAATGTTATTATCATTACAATAAGGTTGTACGCAATCCAATTTCGTCCATAGATTTTTTTCCTTCTATTTTTTCAAACTGCTAACATTAAAATATACTTTATACATATTCTGGATCGCTTACTGCTAGGAACAGCATTCCTCCTTCCAAACGCTTACAGTTTTGATGATAATCATTTCTGAGTAATATTCATCATTAAACATTTTTTTTAGATTATGTTAAACTGCTCAACCGAGTTGCACAATTTATCCGTTTTTTTGTCTTCATCCTGATCGATATGGAATTTCATATGTGTTTTTACCAACTAGTGGGAATAATCCAACAATATTGGCATTCCCATGACTTTTTAGAATATTATTTTTAACTGTACAGCCTTTGATGAGAGGTGACCAAATAAATATTTTTTGCTAACCCAAGTCTCTTTAAATTATATATTAGTAATTACACTAACATGCACAGAAATATCGATTAAATTAGGCATGAATAAGAAAAAAAGATATTAGGCAATAGCAGGGGATCGAACCCCGGACCATATGCATGGTCAGCGAGAGTCCTAACCACTGTGCCACCGACGCACATTCAACTACTAGGTGTTTGGAATACAACAGATGAAAATTTTTAATCTCTGTTACCACAGCATAGTAGATATACGCATAAATATATACATGCTCTGTTGGAATTTAGGATGGAAGAGGCGTTCAATAACTACTTCTCAGTTTTCACTATTACTTGCCTAAATAATTTCGTCAACACAACCCCGAACTCTGCATACAAAAAAGTTTGTCCAGTCTCTTATTCTATCTTGGTCTTAACTGCTTCACTAGTCGTTCCCTGTAAAAAATAAATTCGACTTTTTCTTTTCTTATCACTCTCATATGTTCCCTGTGTTACAATTTCACACCCTCTCCACACTTGTTACATTGACACTCAACTACCAACTTTATTCTCTCTCACTCAATAGCAATTTCAACCTTATCAAATTATTACGTAATTTACAACTTTTATTTTTAATTGTAAAGCCACTTCAGAGCAATTATATCAATTATGTGCGTCGATGGCATAGCGGTTAGGACGCTTGCCGACCATGCACATGGTCTGGGGTTCGATCACCGGCCGACGCACTCCTGTACCTCGCTAAGCCAGAAATAATGCTGGTAAAGAGGAGACGTTGGGCATGAGGCTAGCAACCCCATCCTGTAAAAATTAAACACTGCTACAGAAACTTCAAGCCACTAGCTTGAAGCCCTATGTTCCACTGAGGAACGTGAAGGAAAAATATATATAAATACGACTGTACACCCTGTGAAGATGATTTCATCGATAAAGAAAATTTTGCTTCGCTGAATTTGTCTTTTATTTTCTTCATGATTCAATGGGTATTTTCGGTGATTTAAATAATTTTAATGCGTGATTCAAATTCCTTTTTTTAACAAAAACAAGACTGATGTAATAAGAATAAGAACAATAACCCACCCGTTTCGCCTTGCCAATGAAATTTTTCATTATAAATTCCAATAGAGACTTCACATAAGCTAACAAGAAAAATGTCAGTGAATTCTACAATGAATGAAAAGAGAGATGAAATTTATTTACTAAATATGAATAAAATAGGAAATATATCTGGTATAAGCGTAAATTATTAAGCTAGCCGATAGCAGATTTCCATCAACTGAGCACGTCACGTGATGATTATCGAACAAACGGGGGAAAATACATTTTGACCACGAGCTAAAACGGGTTAGAGAACCATTAGAAAACCAGGGAGTATTGTACACCTTTTTCGTCCTAGTTTTGGACACTTCAGGGACTCGATCCAGTGACCTATGAATTTCAAATTCTTCCAGTTTTCAATATATAGTGCAACTGTCAGTCAGTGTCATAGGCGGACGAGAATTCTTAAATGGAAGGACCAACCAAGTCAAGTAACAGAGCAATTGCTGGTCTATGACACTGACTGGAGGCTGTGTTATCCATCTCAAGCTGGCAGAAGTTGGAATTCACAGCCCTCTGGATAGGGACCCAGTGGTTGAATGGTCTACAAGCTCGACTTGTAACCGGAAGATCCTGGGTTTCGAACCCCAGTGGGTTAGTACTGCTGTCCCGTATTCCCTCATTTTGAAATCCTTCTATAACTGGTGTCACCTCATGATCGAATTCCTGCAGACCAACTCTTGTTGAGAAACACATCTCCCGAAGTTCTTAAGCTTAATAAACTATTCAGCAGTATGAGGCTGATGGGATATGATGAAGTAGGTGAATGAAATCGGGTCAAAGAAACAACCAAGTAACTTTATGATAGTCTATACAGACCTGTCATGATAAGCGGAATTAACTACTATAGAACCCAGATTACGAAATAAAATGCGTATGCGTTCAGCAACATAAGCAGAACAGCGCCTATGAACTCAGGACACTCAGTCCCATTCGAGGAATCCTTCAAAGTCCTATACACCAGATTCTTTGAAAACCTCTCAAACGGAGTGAAATCAAGACACCTGAGCATTGCTTGGTTTTTAAGTGAAGTTGAACCTTCGTCTTAACTATGGCTATCATAAACGGACAATTTTCTCAATAATTATTATCCTATTGTGTTTTTTATCTGAACTTCCTGTTTACTTTTCTTATTGTTACCTTGTTTGGAAAATCCCTCCGTCATGGACGATCTATTTATAATTTTGTCCCCGTTTAATCTTTAATTCTAATGCTTCTCTTTTTGTTTGTGTGTATGTTGGCAATATGCTGTTTAACGATATGAGTTTCTATGAATGAATAAAGGTCATCCTGATAGTATGGACTGCCTGCGGGAAGCTTTGGTGTGTGATTCTTGGGGATAGCGCCATTGATCCCACCTCCGGAATATGCTCTTTGATTCTAAGTTACCTTTTACGGTTGAACTTTGCTTAACTAATTTTGTCTTACAGTAACTGTTTTGTACTTGGAAGCCTACATTGCCTGTAAGGCTGCTTCGCAGCACTGTTGAGGTAAATCTGGAATCGCTAATATGCTGGAGAATAATCGTCCCTTCCCTGCGTTTGGAACGTTTCGTGGTAGCGCCTATCTCAGCAGATTTCTTTTTGGCTATAGAGTAGAAAGTAGACGTTGGTTTCTTGCGTTCAGACCATAACCGAATAAATTTGGTCGTTACAATGTATTCTGCGAATATCAGACTTAAAACATATGCGAATGACACCTGACTGTTAGTAGTATCAAAGGCTCCGCGTTTATGGAATTCATATCGCAAACTGAAAACACTAGATTTTTCGGTAAGAAACCCAATATACGCTGAATAGTGGAAAGAACACACACTGATAGCGCAGCGGTAGGGTTCTCGTCAGCCGATCACTTGGTCCCGAGTTCGATCCCTGATGGTTGGCCTCCTAAACTTCACTTAGCTGATACAAAGACCGGCAGAGATGGAAGGTTGGGCAGGAGGCTGGCCACCCCACCTTGTAAAACAGAATACCACTGCTTCCACTGAAACTTTAAAACTCAAAGCTTGAAGTCGCAAATCCCAATTGGAACGTAAAGTGATTAAATAAGTGGTGTGCTGTTGAGGTGTGTGCTACTGATAAGATTTATCACTAGTACATAAACAGACTCTCACCACCACAAAAATATCAAATAGCGGAGTGAAAGGCTTGATATCAAAGAGAGCAAATGAACCAATAATACGGCAAAACATTGTTGACACGAAAAGAAGACAAAGAAACACAATACACAAGAGAGAGCGGAATCAGCACAGCCCTGAAGACCTATACAAATGGTGAGATCTGTCTGCAAGCCAAAATTGTAGACAACAATCTACGTCAATGTTTACGTCCCGAATCGGGGTCAGAAGGGAAAACAAGAACAAAGACTAACTTTGAGGAACTCAACAACCAATTATAACAGACAACGTGGGCAGATACTATTTACAGACGGACACGAAGAGATGACAGAATAACCTTCTATAAAACACAAAATAATTGAGCAGAGAATATCCTATTCGATAATTTCCTCCTCTTCTGGCTCTACAATTATATATATATGTTTATATACATAGAACATTCTAGATTAGTAGTCAATAACAATATTAGTGTTTTTTAATGATATCGATTTGTTAAGTACGATCACGATCGAATTACATTTCATTAAAGATGCTTAGATGATAATAACAATAATAATAATAGTAATAACGTAATAGCAAATAGAATATCAACTTAAATTAAGGAAATTTCCACAAAAATTCAGGATCATCCAAACCTGGACGTCCAAGGTAAGGATAATGTCTGAACTAACTTCTTTTGGACGCACAAATTAGGCTACTTAATACGGATCCCTTCTAAGTTGTTCGTCAAAAATGGTCAAGTTCGCCTTAATCTCCCTCCTCCTGATATTTTCACATTCACTACGACGATTATAACAACATACAATGAATGATTAATTGTGTGACAGTGACTTTCACACGTTATTTACCCTACGCTTTTCCCCTTTGTATAATTGTAATCACAGTGTGTTGGTGTGATTCAGACAATGTGTGCCAATGGAATATTATTATTCTCACATTCCCACAGTTCACTAATGCGTTAGCAACAGAATACAATATATCTCTATTTGAACATTCTATTTCATGTCGTTCAATGTCATGTAAACCGAAATCACACGCTGGCTCAGTGATTGGTTAAGGAATATAAACAGTGGTTTGATGATTAATGAAAAAGAAACCTCGGCTTTTGTGTCTTGCCTTCTGTTGTTGCAATAATAATTCTTTTTTTTTCCTGTTACTCTTTCTACAACTTTTAAGCCAATAGCTAAGCGTCTTCGAGCATCTAATGCAAGCAAGTCGCTTAAGACTTCAGATTCTGGTAAATCCCCGAGTAGCTCACAGTCGTCATCTAAAGCTTCACCCAGAATAAGAAAGCGTATTCCATTGAAGGAGTTCAACGTATCTACTGAGCGTAATGTGAGTCTTTTTAGTGGTTGTGTCAACTGCTTGTCAATATCATGTAATTGTATATAGCGATTGCGACTTTTTACTGTTTATTGCGTTTGTTTTGTTTAATGAGGAAAGACAGATCCGTTGGTGTAACTTTAATCTTGCCTTGAGGATTATTTCGTTTACCTGTCAAGTTTACTAAGGTTGAAAGGACTTTTCTATTTCCATACTGTTCCACTGTTTCTGGATCCTGGACACTTGCACCTGTGATTATGCAATACTGTCTTTTTTATATTTAATGACATTCATGACTGTAGGGTTGTTTACAAACTGTATATAGTACATTTTACGGTCTTGTTGAACTGTTGTATATTTCGCATATACGAATGATTTTTACTCTTCCTGGTTCAACAGTTGGAATGACGGTTAGTCCCGTTAACGTTATTGGAAGACAGAGTTTATCTGAAAAATGTGATGTATTTGTGAAATATATTTTGGACAAAATGATCACGCTTAGTTGTTAAATCAGTTGCTATGACAAAAGCGGAATGTCAAATTAATAGATA